GTGTATGTATGTATATACTAGCCATTTCTACAGTTTGTATAATGAAACATTTAATAAATGTGTGTGTGTGTGTGTGTGTGTAGTAGCCATTCCTATAACCACAAACCTATCTAGTCAACAAAACCCTGAATCAAAGTTGCATTTCCTCCCCCGCCCTATAAAGTCCAAGAGTGGTTTCCAAACAAATCAAAATCGCTTGTGTTCTTTTCTTTAATCAGAGCCGTCAATTCAGCCATCTTATTTTCCCTTTCTTCATGATTCTTTTTTTTTTTTCCCCCTCCCAGCCGCTGCATCCAGCGTGCAGCTTTCCGGAAAGACCATCCCTCAAAATCACTTCCAGCTCCTACGCCAGCAGCAGCAGCAGCAGCAGCAACAGGCATCCGGACAGGTCCAAGTCCCCCAGATCCAAGGCCAAGGCCAGACCCCGTCACAACCCCAGATTAAGACCGTCGGCAAGATTTCCCAGGTGAGGAAGAGGAGGCGCTCTGCCTCCCGTGGTTGGGAAAGCTGGGCGATCCCACTGCCGCTTTTCCCAGGGGCGGCTTGGGGAAAACCGCGCAAGAAGTCGGGATTTAACGCTCTTGGGGGCCTCGGCTTCCACCCACCCAGGAGCAGCTCATCAAGTTCCAGAAGCAAAAAATGCAGGCCACGCAACAACAGGCCTCCCAGCCCCAGGGAGCCCCCTCCGGAACGCAGCAGCAGGCAGCCCAGGTCCAGGTGCAGCAGCCACAGACGCAGCAGCTCACGGCGGTGGCGGCCTCCAGGCCAGGCGCGGTCCTTGCCGGCACCACAGTCACCGGCCTCCAAGTGGCCCGGTTGGTGAGTGGCCACTCGACCTGCCCAAGGTGGCCCGGTGCTTTGCTAGGCCTTAGAGGGCAGGCCATATCTCCGTGATGGCAAACCTATGGCACATGGGGGTGGGCCCACGCGAGCCCCGGTCAAACTTACCCGCAGTGCGCATGTGCGCGCCTCCCAGCTGATTTTGGGCCCGTTTGAAGCCTTTTTCGCCCTCCCGGAGGCTCGAGGAAAGCCTCCGCAGCCTCAGAAGGCCGTTTTCGACCTCCCGGCATGGCCAACCGGGTGGGTGTGGCCAGCTTGACTGCCCCTCCCCAAACTGCTGGTATGTTTCCTCTTCACATTGGGTAGATCAGGCTGAAGCTGTGCAGGCTAGCACCATACATTTTCCAAGCCGGCCCTGCGGGCTGGATCCAACACACTGAATCTGGCTTGTGGGCCTTGGGTTTGACGCTTGTCAACTCATAAAAGAGTTCTGTGGTCTTTTTAGAGTTGCCAACACAAAGGAAAAGGGAGCAGTGCGGCAGCTTGCAAACCAAAACTGCATTCCATAAATGTTTTCAAAGATAGTAACTAGGTGACCGAAGTTTCTGCGGAGCAAAATTCTAACCGGAGAGCACGATTGATGGCTCTGAGCTATGGACGTGTCCCATTGGAGGATATGAATTACGATACACCCAGAGGGGTGGGGGGAAAACCAGGGTCAAGAGTGACAGTGACTTATGTGTCTCAGAGTTGGCTAGCTGTCAGGATTCCGGCAGTTACCCCCAATATAATACAAATACAGATCAGCCCCCAAACATATTGCAGGATGAAGGGTCTTTGGTAAAACCCTACAGTCGATTTGGTGAGGTAGGTTTCAGTCAGATTGTCAACCTGTGAACTCATTTCTATGGTCTTTTTAGAGTTGCCAACAAAAAGGGAGGGGGAAGCAGTGCGGCAGCTTGCAAACCGAAAGTGCATTCCATAAATAGTTTTTCAAAGATAGTAACGAGGTGACTGAAGTTTATGCCGTGCAAAATTCTAACTGGAGAGCACGATTGATGGCTCTGGGCTATGGAGGTGTCCCATTGGAGAATATGAATTACGATACATCCAGAGAGGTGGGGGGAAAACCAGGGTCCAGATAGTGAATGATGTGTCTCAGAGTCGGCTACACCCAGGCAGTGCTGGGCATGTTAACTCCCAATAAATCATTTTTTAAGTTTTGGAAGTCCAGCTAGAGACTCACTATTTAAATGCCGGAGCCCCGAGAACAGCCCTGGGCTAGAACAGCCCCCGTTTCCTGCTTCTTGCTCTACACCCGTACAATAATCCCGATTCCTTCCTGCTTTAGACGCGGGTGGCTGCTTCTCAGCTCCAAACCCAAAGCCAGATCCAAGGTCAGACGCCTCAAGCAGCCCAAGTGGCTTTGGCCAAGCCCCCCGTGATGTCCGTCCCGGTGGTATCCTCGGCAGGGGTGACCGCCCTCCCCGTTACAGTCTCCGGGATTAGCGTGGCGATTGGGCAGCCTCAGAAAGCAGCAGGTAATTTTGAGTCGGAAAGGGTTTGGGGGTGGCACCAAGGGGGCTGGGGTTCCTTTAGTTTAGTTGGAAAACCTCACCCCCCACCCCAAATCGTTGGTTCATCCAAGTTCTACAGCCATCCAGTCAATGAATCTGGGTGGCTTGCAATGGAGACATACATACATACATACATACATACATACATACAATGGACCCTGTAAAAAAAAAGGGGGGGGGGCGCTTATAGTGATGTCTCTTCTTTGCCTCCTGCGCAGGAGGGCAGGCAGTGATGGCTCAGCCGCTCCACGTCCAGCAGTTTTTGAAGGTGAAACAAGCTCAGCACCACCAGGCGGCCCAGCAGAAGGTCATCCAACCACAGGTGGCCCAAGGACAGGCAGGTGTTCAGCAGAAGGTCAGTCTCCCTCCTCCTCCAACCCCACTTCCCTTCTAGCACTGATGATGTTACCTAGTGGGGCCATGAAACGTCTGCCAGAAAAGAAGCAAGCACAGAGAGCACCAAGGACTCCACAGTTGTCATTGTCATTCTCCTGTTCCTCCTTCTCTTTCTCCTCCTCCCCTCCACAAACCCTTCTCCTCCCTCCTCCTCCTCCTCTCCACAAACCCCATTCCTTCTCTTCCTTTCTGCCAACTCCATTCTTCCTCCTCCATCCTCCATCTCTTCCTTTCTGCAAACCATTCCTCCTCCTCCTCCTGTCCACAAGCCCCTTCCTTCCTTCCTTCCTTCCTTCCTTCCTTCCTTCCTTCCTTCCTTCCTTCCTTCCTTCCTTCCTTCCTTCC